AGTATCTTTCTGCCCAGCCAAGCAGTGTGTTAGTAAGAGAGCAGATTTACCTCCAACTGTACAGATCTGCCCCTGTATGGCACAAACTATTCAGCTATATAACACAGGCAGAGACAAACCAGGAATTGATCGATATCCACAAGTTTGATCACCCTCTGAGAGCTTTCATACAGAGAATAAAACCAAAAAGAGCCCGGTATGAAATCAATACAGTCTGTAATTATAACTGTGAGGTGAGAATGAACATAATCATGGATTTAAAATGAGGCATTATGTCCTTAAGAAAGCATGCTAAAAACATAAGTCAAACTAACCTTTCTCAAAGGCACAAGATCTGAAAGTCTGAGGAGTAGCAAACCAGAACCAGAAAACATTGCAATGTAGTATGATGGACAAATTAAAATTATTAAATGTGGTCTCTTCAAAGAGAATTACCTTAGCAAGGTCTCTGACCTGGAAAATGTACTCTTGTTCCTGCGGCTGTCATGTTCTGCTGGCAGCTATGTGTTTATATATATGAATTTATAAAACATATGTTAATAGAGTTAATGAAAAGTTTACCACATGAAAGAGCACACACATAAGGAAAGAAACATCACCAAACAAAAAAGAGAGGAGAAAAAGAGGAAAGCACATCAACTCTGCTGGGGAAATCATCTCAGGCCAGTCAGGAGGTGCTGAGCCAGACCCTAAGTTCCACCAAGTGTGCTGCATGCAGTGAAAGGCAGCTGCACAGCACTGGTGTCAGGCATTCGTGGCAAAGCACCACCTAATGCAAGCAATGGAGTGAAGTTTGAACAGGCTTCGTTAGCCGAGGCGTTTTAAAGTGCACCTCCACATGAAGCACAGGTACAATACACATCTTCAGATTAGCAGTATTCAACATGCAGCCTCCTCCATCTGTATTGAACAGAGAAAATTTAAAGTAAGCATTTTGTTACTAGGAAATAATAGAGGAGGAGATAATGCAAAGCAAATGAGAAGTAGGGCAAAGAAAATCAATTTCTCATCAACTCTGGGGTGAATAACTTTAAACAAATTCACATAGTTCCTAATCAGTACCAAATAACAACATGATTCCTTTGGGCTACACTGCAATGATAAAGCACCAAATTCATGATAGAGGATACTTTAAATTTTATCGGAAAGGCTGTGAAATAACAAGAAAATCCCATGCATCTTACAGTTTATCCCTAGAAAGCAGATAAAAGGGGCCTTTGGCATGACACTTGTGATAAGTGTATTTTACTATAAGACAGCTAACGCCCTGAGCAAATACAGGAGCAGCAAAGAGTAAGAATTATTTGAAATTTTTTGCTTAGAAGCTGAAAAACTAATTCTGACATGTTGGCTCAAAACAAGAATGGATTTCATTACACTGCAGATGGCCTGAGCAAAGGGAGTAGGTGACGCAGAAGAAACTGTGCTGAAATTACAAAGTATATTAGAACTGCCTGATTAATCTCCTGTCTGGGGAGTTTTAAGAAATAGACACTATAGAAAACTTAAATTAGAGGAATGATAGCCACATACTTCCAGACTTCTGCTTCTTCTGCTTTTAACAGCTTAGCTCCATTTTATCCAATGATTTTATTGCTGAAGGGTTTTCACGTCCTTAAATCATACTTCCTTGGGCACCATGATATGTGTTGTGTCTCCAGAAAACTGTGCTTCTCAAAAAGCTACACGCATCCCACTCTGACACACTCCTTTTTTAGTTACAGCTCCTTCTGTTAGGAACTTCAAAGTAGGTTTAGGTCTTGAGGAGACATGGTGTTTATTCAAAGATCACTTTGGAGTGTTTTTTATTTCTTCCATCGAGCTCTCCTGCACCAGTCACAGCCATTTCCAGCCAGATCTGACACCAGTGTGTGACACCAGCTGAGAAGTGTTGAGTCTAGGATACAGAAGAAATCCTGTATCCTGGTCTCCACAGAGAAGAAGTCCAAATGCATGGCCCAGCTGCCAGCTGGGTGGTACTCCAAAACAGCCCCAGTTTGCATAATCAGACACTAGCAAGTGATTGAGGATGAAATTTCAAAAGAGCTGATGAAGAAACACCTTCAGCTAGATTTTCTAATTGACTGTGCAGTATGAAAAGATCCTATTAAAAGCATTAGTTTCGGTGCAGAATGTGAGAGTGCAGGTGTTTGGAAATGAGCGGTCTGCAGGTTTGAAGAAATGCTGTGAGTGCTGGAACATCAGCTCAGTGTTACTATGACCCTGAGTAAACATGCAATGGGGAACTTAGAGGAAACAGAAGGCGCTTCAGCAAGAACACCATTGTTTTGCTTCCACTTGGTAAAACATGCATTTTTTTACTTCATATTGGCTGATATCCATTACAAAAATGAGAATAAATCAATTTTCCCAAGATTAGGAAGCATAAAGTAAGCATAGTTTCTCCTCCCCTACCTGCACATCACAGTCTTTAACTCAGTTATGTCCTGTCATTATTAGGATGTTACCATATAATAATGAGCACATTTGTATGCACAGATGGTAAGAGCATGCCTTGTATCTTAGTGAATACGCAGGATAAGCTCCAGGCCTTAGATAGCCACAGAAGAACTTGGTGAAAAGCAGCGGTGGGAAGTCATTACTGTAGTGGGTTATACAGAGCGCAGGGTACAGAACCTCCTCTGCCTGAAGTATCGTGCAGACTGCTGCGCATAGTGAGCAATATCAGTTGACATAAGCAGGAAGCAAGAGCAATTAACTTAGGTGTCCACTTACCATTAATTAAGTGATGTGAATAAGCACTGTGGCCAATAAAGACCCAGTTTTCATGTCTCACTTCTGCTCAGAAGTAGAAGTAGCACTGTTTCCTTCCGGTGCTTTCCAGTTGTCGTGGTTTAACCTCAGCCGGCAACTGAGCACTGCGCAGCCGCTCGCTCACTCCCCCGTGGTGGGATGGGGGAGAGAATCGGAAGGGTAAAAGTGAGAAAACTTGTGGGTTAAGATGAAAACAGTTTAATAGGTAAAGCAAAAGCCGTGCACGCAAGCAAAGCAAAACAAGGAATTCATTCACTGCTTCCCATCGGCAGGCAGGTGTTCAGCCATCTCCAGGAAAGCAGGGCTCCATCACGCGTAACGGTGACTTGGGAAGACAAACGCCATCACTCCAAACGTCCCCCCCTTCCTTCTTCTTCCCCCAGCTTTATATACTGAGCATGACGTCACATGGTATGGAATGTCCCTTTGGCCAGTTGGGGTCAGCTGTCCTGGCCGTGCCCCCTCCCAGCTTCTTGTGCACCTCCAGCCTTCTCAGTCGGTAGAGCATGGGAAGCTGAAAAGTCCTTGACTAGTGTAAGCACTACCTAGCAACAACTAAAACATCGGTGTGTTATCAACATTGTTCTCACCCCAAATCCAAAACACAGCACTGTACCAGCCACCAGGAAGGAAATCAACTCTATCCCTGCCGAAACCAGGACACCAGTACATTAAGTTTTTTTCCTTTTGTTTTAATTAGCACACAGAAGCCAACACCTTCAGGTTTCCAGACAAATGGGTATGCTGGTGCCCAACTTCAAGAAGTTGTCAGAAAAATGCGGGAAAGGGCAACAATCTATAAGGAAAAGCTGAAAGACCCAGTGCTGTCCTCCCCTGAAGGCAGTCCTACAGCTTGTAAGTGACTCCAGAAATAGCTGTGCATTTGTTGAGTTTAAAGGTGAAAATTATTTTTCAGGAACACACAATACTGTGATAAAATTTTCAAGTAAGTATAACGTGTTTACCCACTGAAATGGATCAGTTTGTGCCCACTGAAGTCAATTTATCCGTATTAGTCTACAGTAAACCACGTCCTTAGGTACGAGCCCCCTTTGAATGGCATCACTAAAGAATTTGGGGAAAAGATCCTGGGCAATGTCTAGAATCATCCCTGTCAAGCAGGTTTATATATTTTGAAATAGTTCTCAGATACATTTATTCATAGGGATGAATCTGAAACATATGAACATACATATCTTATGAGTAGATATTAGTCACTCTGAGATTAGATCTGCTGTGTAAAAGTAGATAAAGTTTTAGCCATGGCAGCAATCTTCCAGGCACGCTGAGGACTCTAAGTACATGCTTCGAACAGAGCAAACTCATCTGAAATTAATTAAATATTTACTTTTGACAAAAAATGAAACATAAAACAAATACGATATTTTTCCCCTTTAGAGGAAAGTTTGACCTTTTTTCTTTTCCTTCTCACAAAGAATTGAGTGTGGTAATTTTATATTCTGACAATTTTTAGAAGCTGTTTATTGGTTACCTGTTTTTTAATAAGCTGGAAAAAATAGTGCCCGAAGTATTATAAACTATACCAGCTGATAAAGGAATTACTTTTTTTTTAATTATTTCTTTGCTCATTTACCTTTTTTGTTCTCTTTGTAGAACTTACAATCATTTATTTCCTAAATCATTACAGATCCAGTTTGTCAGTTTACTGTGTAAATAGGATACTGTGTATCCTACTCAGAGGTAAAGCCACCAGAATTAACGGGACAAACATGTGGACAAAATTGTCCTGCCCAAAGATGGAAGAACTGGGCTCAAAGGAGTGCCACAAGACTTTTGTAAGCCTAGAAACATACAAAACCATAGGCTTCCCACTAGTTTCACCTGCTGCACCTTGCATATCAGTTCTCAGGAGAGGGGAGAGATTAGTCCATGGCACAGACATCTTTTCTTATCTCCATCCTAATTGCAGGCATTATTTGCAACAGTCATGTAAAGAGAAATGCCCAGTTGCATTAATGAATGCTGAATTATGAATTGCCTTATTTCTTGTCAGTCTTTTATGGCATTAGTTGTGGGCACTGTGCAAGGAAATACAGTAATATATATTGCACTCTGTAACATGAAGTGCCCTGTTCTTGATAGAAGATTTACATGATTATATCAGTGGTGATTTTATTGTCCAGTCTGTTTTCTAATGCATTCAGTATTATAATTAATTGTAGCTTTAGTCACTGCCAAGCATTTTTAGGAGAATTTTTAACATGATGAGGCTCTTGTACATGTTAAAACAGGGTGTAGTAATTGAGCCATTATTAAAATGTCACCCTTTGCGGCATCCTATGTGGCTAGCACCATCGAAGAAGAAGCCTCCACCCCCACCAAAAGAAGAAAAAAAAGAAGAAAAGAAAGAGGATGCAGAAGCAAAGCCAGAGGAGGATCATTACTGTGATATGCTGTGCTGTAAATTCAGAAAACCTCCACTGAAAAAATACATGGAGTATCTGCAGCTACCAGACAGCATAGACTCATACACAGGTAAATTAAAAGCTATGCAATAAAATGGGGTAAAGGCATATTGAAGTGATCTAGTATTACATAGTGCCTGTGAGTCACCATAAGATCCGCATTCCAGTTTGCAACTCAGAGGGACGCATAGATCCTGCCCTAAAGAACATTTATTCCAAACAGAGAAGACATGAAAAGTGACAACAGTTGTAAAGATATTATGCACAAAGCTGATATGCAAACCAACCACAATTAAAACCCTGGTCTTCTGATTCTTGATCTAGAATTTGTCCCATTCATTAGGGCCAAATGATTCTTTTGTCTGTTGTAACATACACCAGCAGCATGCAAAATGTATCAAGTTTCTTCAGACGCATTAAATTCTATATGCCCTCATAAACTCATCTTTTTTCCCTTTTGCAAATTCTTTGTGTGACTCCTCATTCCAACCTATATCACTTCAGCAGCCTATGCCATTGAAAAAGGGAGAACGGTAGGTTGCTCTGTGCAGAAACATTCCTGGAGACTGCAGTAGATTAAATGTGTCTAACAGAATGAGAAAAGATTCTAAGTCCATGCCTGTAAATTCAATGTTTTTTCTTTCAGACCGCCGTTACGTAGCGTGGCTCATGCTTGTGACAGTCGCCTATAATTGGAATTGCTGGTTTATTCCCCTTCGCTTTGTGTTTCCATATCAAACCCCAAGTAATATAATATATTGGTTTACCATAGACATCATTTGTGATATCTGCTACCTGTGTGACTTACTGATTTTCCAGCCACGAGTGCAATTTTTAAAAGGTGGAGATATAATAGTAAGTATTGGAAGTGGGATTTCCACAGGTAGTAGTTGTGTGTTAAAGTACATTATAGAAATTCCCTCTAATCTGACACATTTGTTCCTGCTATGTCAAATCTATGTAACTTTTTTATTTATCAAAGGATACCTAAGTTCTTCTTCACTGACTTTCCATTATCCTATTTTGGAAGAAGAAAACATATCCACCGTCTACATTCTTAAAAAAAGAAAAACAGATTTTAAAGTAACAGATGAAAGCAGTCGGAACAGGCATAAAGCTCTTTCTCACCAGGAGTAAACTGGTGCAGCTTCACTGGAAGCAGTGATTATATGACTATGTACTCATACATGTCTGCATGGGTTTGTATTTTAGTGTGTGAAACTTTCAGCTTTCTATTCATCTTGTGCAGGAATCATAGTTGAAGACAGTGCATGTTCTGCTAGGGCTGGACAGAATATACGTGTTTTATTACAGATTGTGAGATTGTGGGGTTTTTTGCCAAAATCAGAGCAAATCCCTGTAATTTCAGGATGCTTTGAAAACAATTTATTTGACATATTTTATTTTGGGAAAATATGTACATTCAATTTTGCTTCTTGCTACTTTTTTTGTGTAATCTATTTACAGAAAAATGCAAAATCAAACTCTAAGCAAGTATATGAAAAAAAGCAAAAGCTTGCCCTTTAAGATATCAAAAAGCCATCTAGAACATTAACTTTTCTCTAAAATCTTCCCTACTTTGGATTCTAGAAGAAAACCTAATGCAGAAAAAAATGACTTTGGATAACTTCAATGTGACACTACTGTGCCCAACAGACAGAAAATTCAAAATTATGTGTCCTCAAATGTAACTTGGAACTAGCTTTAGTTCAGTGCTTTTACATAAAATTTTACACATTGTGCACATAAGATATTATTGATACCTTTACAGAGGAATCTCAGATAAAACTGTGCAAATATAGTTTGGATAGGTATTAAATGCAGTGCAGTGTAATGTATTTTTCCATGCCAAGACATTCAGTAACCGGCAATCTTGCCTAAATCCTACAAAACTCAAGTTTTATGAACAAGGTTAAAACGCTAAAGTAGGAAGCTTACCTTGTATTTCCCTTGAAGCTGTTTGTACAATTCATAGATTTTAGTGCATGAAGAGATCATCTACTGTCTGATCTCCTGCATTTAGTTTAATGCTTAAACTGATAATAGTGAAAAATTGGCATGGAAATATCCTTAAGATTTTTAAAGCTATTTGTAGTGTCCCTGGTATAAATACAGAAAGTGTAATAATAGATACATTTCTTTAGATACTTGTGATTACCCTTTCTTATTAAGGTACTAGCATCGGTTCCCATGGAGAACAATTTAAAAATAAATAGCTAATCATTACTAATGAATGCAATGTTGATTATTATGAAGCTAATAATGCTAGCATGTTAATGCTAGCTTTCAAAGAGCTAATTTTGTACAGCAACATCACAAACATTCTTTGCAATTTTTCTTGGAACTACTGCAGTCAAATGGAGTTTTTGGCCCTGAAATTGAAGGGGGTTGGGTCAAGCACCAACTGGTACAGATGTGTTGAGAGGGAAGATTTGTGGGATAAATGTAACATACTTTGCTAGACCAACAACCAGGCTTGAAAAAAATCAGACAAACCCCAAACCTGATTTTTTCAAGTAGGTCTAATAAAATCTGGTCTAATGTAAACTGGTCTAATAAAAGTACTACTACTTCCTACAGATATTTCTCCATTTGTACTTTTAGACCACGATTAATATAACTGTCGTCATCCCTAGTATCAGAAGATAATTATTATTATTGCTGAGTAGCAGAGGCTCGTTCTTGACATTCTGTTCTTGACTATGCCTTTTTCTCCTTTTGTTATCACTGTAGTCAGACAGAGTGGAAATGAAGAAATTCTACCACAGCTCAGTGAAGTTTCGGGTAAGCAGATCCTGTGTTACTGATGTCAATATGTAAGTTCTGGCTGTAGGATTTCACAGAATTTTTTTCATTCACTGAAAATAACTGTTGGTTTAAGAACATCACCAGAAAGCATTGGCTTGATAGCATGTCAGTGCTCACCAGCTGAAGATTGCCATCTTCATAAACAGTGTTTAACTGTAAAACATAATAACTATAAATGCAATTATAAATATTAATTCTGAATAATAAAAAATTAATAAAATAGAATTAATAAAATTATCTGTTTTGGTAAATTTGTGTGAGGTCATCCCCGCACACACTGAAAGGCAATAGCACAGTTTGCCAGAGATTCATTAAACAAAATAAAAAGTCTTGAAGTTAGATGATAACTCTGTTTGGTGAACTCTTATGCGTGGTACTGAATAGGTCATCATTCACACAAGTAAACAAAAATTCAAACTAAGATTTTTGATGCTCATTGCACTTTGTAAAAAAAAAATGCATTTGATTTAGGAAAATTGTTCCTTTTGTTCCTAAATATTGCTTTTGCCAACAGAGGATAGGTAGTCTATTGATTTCCTGATATACATATAGCTCTGTGACACTGAGCCCACATCTCTGAAATCTCAGTTATTAGTCCCTCCTCTTCCGTAAATACTTTTGCACCTGCCTTGTTTCAGAGTTAAATTTGTCTCAGTGACTGTACAGGCAAGTGAGTAGGACAGAGTCAAACTTACTGCAAGGAAACTAAGTGGATATGTATGGTTTTATTTTAAGTTCACACTTGTAGTATGTTTAGTGCTCTTGATTTCTGCAGAAACTACTAAGGGTTGAGTGTTCTCACCACATGCAAGATATAGACATAATCTGGGAATTTGTCATATGATTAAGTACTAATTAACAGTTACTGATATTAAAGCACTTCTGACTAAATTTTGCCTCCTCTTAGACGTGTCTGAGAGAGGAAGAGAGGCCATAAAAGGCTGTTTGTCCTCAATCAATTTTTTGGTTTGCTTTGCTTTTTTCACAGAGTTCAGGTATTAACTGCATCTTACTTGCATGGAATAAAAGCTCAGTACTGCAGACTAGTTGCTGCCAACACAAGTTATGTCTCTCAGGGCAAAGGCATTTCTGATTACAGTGAGATGAAGCCTATAGTTCCAGATCCCTCTTTTGTTCCCAAACGATATCAGCAACAGAGAAAGGCATCACAGGATCTTTAAAAAGGCAAAGCCGAGTTTGCCACAGCTTTCCTTCTCTCCACAGAATTCTTGGAAAGAATAAAGTAGGCAGATAAGAAGAGTAATCACACAGTTGATGTACTGCAGGGAGATGTTGAAAATCTTAGTGATATGGAAAGAAGCAGCATCCAAATATAACAAAAGACAATATCTATTAAAAAAAAAACCATCCAAACTTATCATCCTATGATGAATCTGTTGTTTGGAACACATGGCTTCTGCAGGTTGAAAGCAAGGAGTCCAATTCATCGTGTTCCTCCAGATTGTTTTAAGCAGCCTGGTTTTAAAGCAGTAGGACTACTAAGAAGTGCTTGTGGAGTGCTCTCCCCACCTCCACTCACCAGCCACATGCCTACCATTTTAGTCTTGTCAGAACTATAATTGAAATAACAGAATGTATTAGTAATCAAATACCTGAAATACTTTTCATAATCCCCATGAAACAGATGAAAATCTCAGGCACAGGGGACTTAAAAGCAGGGCAGAGCAAAGCTGTTGGTGTTTTCAGAGATAATCTTGCCTGCCAGTACTTTGGAAGTTAGGGCTTAGCATGCTGACTGTTCAAATATTATACTCAATCATGGTTCAATCTAAGTAGGTTTTTGACAGCAAGTAAATGCATTATGATTATTGTGAAGTTTAAATTGACCTCTCTGCTCTTCAACAGCTTGATGTGATATCAGTATTGCCGTTTGAAGTGTTATACTTCTTCTTTGGATTTAACCCAGCATTTAGAGCAAATAGGATGCTAAAGGTAAGATCTGTGTTAGTGATGGATGGCTAACCACACATAAATGTTTTTACAATCCAATGGAAAGTTGTTTATAATATCTAGGAATATGAAATTTAGAAATTGGAAAATATCTTCAGGATAAGCTACAACATCAATAAACAAACCAACAAAAAATACAAGATATAATCTAGCCAAATGAAGCCCTTATTCTCTCATTTTTCTTCTGACTTTATTATTTCCTACTTTCAAAAGGTGTTTTGTGATTAAGGCTGGTTTGTTTCCATTGTTTAAATTAGTTTAATCTTAAATTACCTGTTTAGTGTTCGAAGATCAGAAAAAAATTAATTTAAGATTACTAATTAATGCCAATGTATTTTCCCCTTCTGCTGGTAATGTCAGGTGCTTAAAAGCAAGGAAGGGAATTTTAAGGACAACATAAACTGTACACAGCATATTTAACAAGCATAAACCCACTTTTGTTATCGAGTCCAAAGACATCAGGAGTTGTGCAATGAAGGGGCTGAGAAAGGATTAGACAACAGCCCTCTCCCTGCATTTCATGGTACCTAGCAGGCCACTCTGTGGCTAAATACATTTCCCTTCACACAAGCAATATGTTGACAAAGAATTGGCTTTCATTTAAAGTTGGAGGGGGAACAAGAACTCTGAGACTAAAACGAGTTTTCAACAAAACTTCAAAATTCCATAAATCAGAACCAAAACAATATGAAAGAATGAAAAGTTAAACAGTACCTCCTATTAGGCAAACAGACATGTACTGAACAAAAACAAAGAAAAAAGCTACCTGCAAACATTAAGGGCTATCACTAAAGTAAACTACAAATAATTAACAGGAGGAATTCAATACAGCAGCAATTGTAACTACATGGTATCGTCTAGTATGTGGTTGTTGATACATATGATTATTCTCATACTGAGAATTACTGGAATTTCAGAAAGAGTAAAAAGGTATTTTTATGTGCGTAATTCTCTCTGACAAAGTTGCCCAAGCAATTATATATATTTGAGGAGGTAGAAGTCATTCATCTGCAGCAGACTGACCTAAACAGCAAGGTTATTTCTATAATCAGATTAATGGGACACTCAACACCCAAAACAATGTTCAACTCAATTTTCATCTTTGCAGTTCACCTTTTAGTTAAATGTTTAAAGAAAGTCAGACTACTGAAAAATCCATTATTTTCAAAATGTGTATGTGAACTAATGTCTGTACTATTAGAAAAAGATGTGTGGTGAGGAACAGTGATTGGATTACTTTCATTTGTTTTCCATTCAGCATAACACATTCTTTGAGTTTAATGATCGTTTGGAAGCTATCCTGGACAAAGCATACATCTACAGGTATGTGCATATTAAACTCTTGTAGCATGCAAAGCTTGGCACAGTATGCATTTCATTTGATTTCATGACTTGTCAGTGAAGCACTGGATGGAATATGATACATCTTTAACTGTTCAATTTAAGTTTTTAAAATATCTCTTTTTATTGTAATCATTAAAATAATAAATGTAAAACTTCACTCCTATGAAAACTAGCTCAGTTCAGCTGGCCTGGTTTAGGCAAAATGTTCACCAGACTGAAGCTCCTGACAAAATTTAACTGATCAGAATTATCAGAAGTTTCTTTAGTGAAAGAGCTAAAGAATGGTTTCTTTAGGTTGCTAATAGCAGTGCCAAATCCTCAGTAGCTGTTTATTTGTATTTAGTAAGAGTCATGAGCTTGAGCCTGTGTCAACATTTTTCTTCAAATATGCTCTCACCATGAACCTGGCACATACAGAAACTTGATCCTCCACTGCATTGACTAAACTTGGGATGAGAATCAATTCAGCACAGATCTCAAATAGTGATTATAACTGTTGTCTGCTGCACTGTGTTCTCACCTTCTGCATTGACTAGAATAATACTGGAACCAACTCAAACAGTCCATGGACATAAGTATGGCAAGTTTCATAGGCCCCTCAGCAGTCAGTGATGCTGCTAAGACCCAGTGAACCCATCTACTGTGTCACCATTATTGTCATCTACTGTCAGTGTCACCAGCTATAGTTTATCCTGTGCAATTCCTACACTGACAGATTTTTTTTTCCCTGTCCCAGTTTTGAGGCATGTATTGTTCCTGTGTGCTGCTGCAGCAGAAATAACAATCTGTCGTTTACCATCTTATTCTATTTCAGAGATTATTGCACTTAAATGGTTGACTTGGTATTTATACATAACAAATGAGATATTTTATGAGATTTAGAAACTAGTTAATTCAAAAAGGAGTTTGAAACATCGTCTGTTTCATATTTTCATGTACCTGCAAAATAAAACAAAACTTAGAAGTTTGAAAGTTCTGCTAAAGTATTTCTGAGATGCTGACCTCCACAAAGCTTACTCTTATGTTGCCCTCTCCTTTCACTTATTGAAGAGACTTTTGTGGTTTGGGTTTTTTTTTTCTTTTTTTAAATTCTTGTTGGTACAAGAGAAGGCTTGTCTGAATTTCCACAAGATGAAGAAATTGCTTTTCAGTTTCTGAATCACTGCCTCCCTATCTTCTCCAATTTCTAATCTCATTTAAAAAGAATGAGTTTTCATCTCTCTTGCTTATATTTTTTTAAATTTTTCTAATGTTGAGAACTTTTTAAATTAATTAATTAATTTCCATATTGCTTCCTTTTCTTCGGAGTCATAATTCAATGACTTTTCTGTATCTCCTATTGACAGTGAGTACTGGGAGATATGGATTTTTAATATAGATGGTTTTGAATTAAGTAATTAGTTTGTATGTAACTGTAATTTTGCGTGTATATGGCTTTCAAGGAAATGGGAACAAATTAGCAAACCCATTTTCACCTAGATAGGCAGTTTTACAAGGGACAGAGTTTCACACTATATAAAAGTATGGAATGGGAAAAGGTTCTTTAAAGGGCAATTTGAGAATGAGATGTGTATATCTTCAAACTACCCTAACTTTGAAAGATGTGATGTTGATTTGTGTGTCAAAAATCAGAGAAGGTGCTCATTTAGAAATGCTAAGGCACACACAGAGCAAGATCTCACTGGTCCTGTAAAATGTATGAAGTAGCAGGAAAGACCGAACCAGTTACTCTGCAAAGCTGTTCTGCCTTGTTAGTTTAGACAGTTTTGTAGCATGGTATTGGTTGAGTGCCACATCTGTGTGTTGCTGCTTGCGTCTTTGTTTCCTGGTCACAAGCCCACTTCCATTTTCCAATATTAAATCACTTGCAGAATGTAAACTGCAGAATGTAAATATTACAAATTGAATCCATTTTCTACCTCATACTCTTAAGAGGCCAGAAACCTGAAATGTGTGAAATAGAGCACTCTTCATAACTAAAATGCAGTTTTAAATCCGGCTGAAGATGTGCAGAAAAATAATGGTAGAGCACATGGACTTCAATATTGCTCAGCATATATGGGGTTAACAGTATTGATGCTTTCTTATCTATAGGCTTTCCCATCAGTGCATTGCTAAGGTTTGTGGTAGAAAAAAAATGCCTGCATACTGTGCTACCAAAATGTTATATTTTGTATTTGCAAAAACACCTATTAAATGTCATGCCATGCCCTGATACAATGCTTTAAAACATACTTCAGAAAACACTGATTCTCTGTTTTTGAGGTGCTCATTGGTAAAAACAGAGATCTTTTAATTGGCTTGGCAGAAGGCATTAGGGTAAGGAAAGAAAAAGGACAAATGGAGAAGAGAGGTTGTTAAACAGAAGAAAAGTACAAATGGGAGCTAAAAAATATAAAAAAGATAGGCTGTTTGTGCAAACTACTGCATTTTATTTGAATGTAACAATGTTGTTTTGATCTGAGATCCTGGTATGGTCACCATTTGAGTGATAAGGCACCAATTAACTAGATAATGTCAAACTAAACTTCTACACAGCAAGTATATGTGCTTGGGTGGATTCTTTTCTCAAACTCATTAGTTTGAGTTTGTAGGAATAGAGCTAGCAAAAGTTACTACATCTTATTTACCCATTGTGGTAGATTTAACATGTGCCTAGAGAAATATAATATATATTGTAGCAAAGGCTTCCAGAACCTTTACTCAGACCTCAGGAGTCCACTTGCATGGATTCAAACTTGTGCACAGACCTGGCATGGTCAATATTGCAATATTACTAGATCACATCAGCTATCTGCTGTTCTCAATAGCTTGCAACCCTAAACAGAGCTGTCCTAGAAGCACACCAACATCTAAACAGAAAAGTGGCATTCATTTGTCAACATCCTAAAGAAGAAGAGTACACATAGGTAGATTGCTCAATGGCATGGAAAGGCAAAAGAGGGCATGCAATAGTACCTGAAGAACCAGCAAAGGAGTGCATAATACAGAAGCAATGACAGAGATATTATCTCCCATTAACTTAGTTTATAGACCTAACTTAGAACTTATTAAATTTTCATAAAACCACACACTCAGTTATTATGCACTGCAAACTGCATTAAGTTCTAGCTGTAGCAGATAAACTCATTATGTACCAGCCTCCCTGTGTTTAGGAAAGTCCTGTATTTTTCCTGCTTATTTATCCCTTGCCTGTATGTATATTTTAATGGAGAGCTAAATCCAGGAGATCTTTCTTTTGATCCCCATGCACTGAACAGAGGATATACAATGAGGTCATTATTGTATTAAACAGAAAGCTGCTTGGTGCTTAAGTAGTTCATCATTGGTGTTCTTCAAAGAACTGGCCATAAGCATAAGAACGGGGATTAGGAATGATATAACTCCTGCTGTAGCCACTAAATCATACTATTTGGCGGATCTACTGCAGGCTTCCTAGCACGGCTCTTGTAAAGCAGTTCATTTCTGACCTCAGACATTTCTTGGCTGTGGTTCACAAGTTTAGAGCCTAGCTTGAACAGTTTGGCAAACACATTAACCCTCTAGACTCATTAATATAGCTTCAAACTTCTGTAAATATTCATAGCCAATTAAAGAAGTGGATTATAAAGTCCTCAGGGAACGAAAATTTAAAAATTACCCTGTGTCAAATGTTCTAGGAAAGATATTTATTTGACCTTGGACAAACATGAGAGACATGTAACTGCCAGCTATTTTTTCACAGAGTCAATACAGGTGGGGAACTCCTTAGTGGATGCTTAATATAAACATTTTTGATCCAAAAAAGCAATGGGTTCCATATTAAAAGGAAGGAAAAAGTCAGTTGTTTTACAGGAATCTGTTGACTTTTATAGGGTCATTCGAACAACTGGATACTTGCTGTTTATCTTGCACGTTAATGCATGCCTGTATTATTGGGCTTCAGACTATGAAGGACTTGGCAGCACTAGATGGGTGTACGATGGCAAAGGAAACATGTAAGTCCTTTTCTCTTGCAAGAGATTTTTGTTGATTTTGTTCCTTCCTGCATCCCCCTCCTTTTCCCATGCCTTTGCTTGCAGGGTATGCCCTTACTTTACAAGTGCTTGGATAGCAAACTTTTAGCGCCATGACTTCTGATTAGCAGCTTTCATTACTAACACATATTTGGAGGGCAGGTGCAGTGAATAATCAGTTTACCACTTTCAGCTTTTAAAGGTTTATGAGTCAGTGCTAAGCACTAACTTAATTAAACATTTAGAAAGCAACAAGGGTCATAAATTAAACTGACTGATTACATATGCACATGGGAACTGTTAGAAGGATTGCAGAACAATCCCTCAAAGGAATCAGAGGCACAGATTTTTTTCCTGCCACACAGCATTGTGTCATTAAAATGCAACATTTTAGTCCCTCTAAACACCATGGTGATTGGTCTGAAAAAATTCCACCCACTTTCTCTGATCTTTTGAGAAGGTCATGCTTAAACATGTGGCAGAGTGTCTCCAGTGGGAAGGACTGGATATTGGCATGCTTTTCCACAAACTCCTTGTGACAACAATAGGCTGAGTGCCAAGTAAGCGACATTCATTAAGATGATAGAGAGGAAGCAAGAGAAAATACCAAAGTCATAATATATTTTGTGTGTAGTTATATAAAAACATATTTAGTAGGTTCAGAAGTATGAATGTTCATTTCTTTCAAAGGCCATAATATAGTTAAAGCCACAGAAGCTCAATTTGTTCATTAATTGCTATCTTTGCAAAACCGCATATAATATACTACTGCTGTCATAAATCACCCTTTAAACAACTTTTCACGTTTCTCCTGGAGACATGCTCCTCTTGCTTGTAATTTTGCCAGACTTCACAAGTTTGGTGTGAAGTCACTATCTTGAAGGGTAGGAAAATAGCCTTTGAGAGTAAAACACACTTTGTGTAAAGCAGCGTTGATTTTTTTATAATTAGGGTTCTCTCAAAAAAAAAATGACATGGCTGAAGTTTCCACACACCACTAAAATACGCAGCTTGAATACTGCAGCCAGACACATGCAAGCAGGCTCATGGAGCTCAGTGGGACGGTTTATGTAAGTGAAGTTATACACAGGTATTTATTCGCAGGATCAAGGCTTCCAGAAATCTGACAAGAAAAATACAGAACAAATTTCCATTATAGCTATTTTTGTTAATGTCATTCTTGGGAATACTTGCCTCATAATTAAAAGGAAAGTAACTAAGACTGAGCAACCTGAAAATTCTTCCCTTTTTCAAAAACTTCTCCTGCTGTGTTGCCCCATACAATGATGTCATCAATGTACTGCAGGTGTTCCGGAGCCTCACCCTGTTCCAGTGCAGTCTGGATCAGTCCATGGCAAATGGTGGGGCTGTGTTTCCACCCCTGGGGCAGTCGGTTCCAGGTGTACTGGACGTCCCTCCAAGTGAAAGCAGACTGTGGCCTGCACTCTGCTGCCAAAGGGATTGAGAAAAACGCATTAGCAATATCA